AGTTGGATATAGGAATTGGTATATTGTCAACTGTGACAGGCGGGCAAGAACCATGTTTAAGAGAGAAGGTAGTGTGGACTGATTTACTGTGGTTGAGTTTGATTCTCCATTTGGTATACCATTGAGAAAGATGGGATTGCAAATTGGCTGAAGCTTTAACTGGATTTTCATGGATCGACATTATAGCTTTATCATCGGCATAATCGGCGACTAGGGTGTCTTGCGAAATGGGTTGATCGGAGGAGTATATATTGAAAAGAAGAGGCGATAAAATGGCTTCTTGGGGTACTCCTGCATTGATTGGGGCCAAATCGGAAGTGCAAGACCCGAGGCGAATTTGGAAATATCTATCAGTTAAATACGATTTAATAAGAAGAAAAAGTGACGAGGGGAGAAAATTACGAAGCTTGAATAAAAGGCCATTGTGCCAGACGCGATCGAATGCCTGGGATATGTCTAGGAATGCACAGGTACAGTATTGTTTGCGTTCGAGAGTTGTTGAAATAGCATCAACTAGTCGATGTATTTGGTGGATTGTACTATGGTTGGTACGGAAGCCAAATTGAGATGGAGGAAGGATGTTATTGGTGATAATATATGGGGAAATGCGCTGAAGTATGAGTCTTTCACAAATTTTTGAAAGGAACGGTAGGAGGCTTATAGGCCTATAAGAGCCAGGAGAGTCAGGTGGTTTATTGGGTTTGGAGAACATAACGATGTGAGAGAATTTCCATAGTAAGGGGAAGTAAGAGAGTCTTAGAATTGCGTTGTAAATGTAGAAAGCTGAAGATTAATTTGTGTTAAAACGATCACATTATTTTATTTGTTTACATATTTTTTACGCAAGGAAAAAAATACAAAATTATAGATAATACCATAATATATTTAAATATCATTCAATTATATTATGTACGTGGCAAAACATTAAGATGTATACATTATGAACATACTAAGTACAGGTATTCTATTAATTTATGTACAATATACATATGTTTAATATGTTTGTAATTTATTTTGAATAAATTTATAAATTAGTCATTTAAATCAGTAATGTAAAAATAAATATAACAAAATGTAAGAACATTTTTTTTATTAAAAAAATGAAAATGCATTAGATATTTTTTAATTTTCCAGATAAGTTTTTTTTTTAATGAAATGAACCTTCATATAATTATCTACAAATAAATACCACAGTTAACTTGAATAAATAAATGAACAGAGTGTTTGGAATGAATAATTCATACAATTATTGCATATGATATATTATATCAAATCAAGAAGTATACACATGATAAATAGGCAGTGTTGAGTCCAGATAATAATAATATTATCTAGATAAAGATAATAACGTTTTTATCTAGATAAAAAATTGTTAAATATCAATTTTTTTAAATAACCTAAAGAAATGATGAATTAATAGTATTTCCATTTCATATTATTTGCAGCTTACTAAATAAAGTAATGTAGTGTATTTAGTGTTGTTATATTTAGTATTCTCGCCAAAAATAATCAAAAATACAATTCAGATATATTATAAAAAAAATTAAATTAAAGGACAGAAGAAAGAACACAAATATTCAATAAAAAGTTCATTTATTTCAGGACTGAAACAGTTAATTTTTTGCGATTTAGAATTAATTTATCTAGATACGACTTTTTTTATCTAAATTAAACATTAGATAACTTGAACTAAGCTTATCTAGATAACTCATCTAGATAAATTTATCTAGATAATTCTCAACACTATAAATAGGGTTATAATTTTAAAATGTGAACAATTTAAAAAAAAAGAGTTGCGGGGTATGAACCATCTAAAATTATTTGCTAAATATTTGTTTTCGGTATAGGTCTGGAGTTGAGAACCTTTTCGTATGAAAGAATTATAATTTTTAAAAAGTTATTGAACCATGATAATTTATGAGCCACACTGGTTTTGAAAAAATATTTTTCAACAGTAAATACGACTTATATGTACAAAGAAAAAAAATCTTGATTTTTATGCAAATCTTATAGATCCGCAGGTTGTCGACCCCGGGTATAGGGGTATTATATTAATATCATCTCGTTTACTAAAAAAATATGCTGAAATCGTTTGTATAAACTGTTATATGCACGGAACAAGGGGCATTGTCGAATTGTTGCCATAGATTCCAAACACATGTGGTAAAAATTCTAAACTGCACTCATTGTGTTTAATAAGTTATTTTATGCCGTTGCAGTGTATGATTATAGAGATTAGTGACATATAAAATAATAATTATTGATATCGGTTATTGATAATATGAAATAATTGATTGATGTGGAAATCGTATGTTGAATTATAATATCAAAATGAGTAATACATTAATTGATATATTTAAATCTGTGTATTTAATTGCAATTTTTTATTTGAAACCACCAATAAAAATATTATTATTGTATGGTGCAAGAATAACGCCGTAGGTAACATATTATATTTCGTCATTTCACAATATGATATTACGAGCCTCTTTGGTTTCACGCACCAAACCATTTGAAAAACTACTGTTTACTACTAAACATTGTTTAATTTTAATATTAAGAAAACAAATTAAAATTTAATTTAATCTATTTTTTTTATTTACTTTAGAATAATTAAGATAATTGCGATTTTCTAATGTTGTAAATAAAATTTTAATTATTCAGTCGAGGGACTTACCGAGTTTTATCACAATAAATATTTATACTTCGATTGTAATTGTTGAGCATATTGACGCTTGGCATAGTAACAATAAAACTATATATATAACTAATAAAAAAATCAAACAATTGTGCAATGTATCAACTAAAATACACATTGGTAGGTATAGCGATATTATACAGATACACATAAAATAGTTGACATTTTTCACGATATCCATTTGACATTGAAGAATTTCAAAATCAACTATAATTATATATATTTACTTTAAAAAATGTTTGAGCACGAAATAAGTAACGCAAAAGAAAAATAAACGACCATACACAATAAACAGAATAATACTACTATACGAGTATAACAGTATAACGAACATTAGTTTAGTTAGGTTATTTTTATCCATTGGTAACTTCAACATGATATAATAATTTCTTAAATAACATCTAATAATATATTATTATATTTTATAGTTTTTTTTTCTTTTTTCTTTTTTTTTGTTCGATATAATTCATATGATATACCTGTTTTTCATAATTGAAAGTGTATTAAAAGAGTACGTTCCGTATATATTCTAAGATGAAATAAAATAAAATAAATAATGTATCGTATGCATTATAACACGAATAACAAGCTGAATACAATGCGAATGTAATACAGCATGCCATACAAGGTGTGTTAAAAGATTTCCGTTGGTATATAGGTACATAGATTTAATGCGGGATACAAATTCTAGTCAATTAGAAGAGTTTCACGAGACAAATATACGCGAAAAAAAGCTTATAGTGAGGATTTACATACAGTTAATAGTCAGTACCTATTCATGCATATAAATTTGCATCGGACAATTCATCAAACAATTACCGCAACGGATCTAAACCTATATATTTGTATGTATGTGTGCGTGCGCGCGTGTGTGTGTGTGTGGGTGTGTGTATGTGTACATTTGTGAATATCTAACAAATATATATATAAGATAGGTGAGTGTATACACTTTGCAGAGATTTTTTATACGGTAATTGCCATCATTAAACATGTACAAAGTCCGATTGGATGAATAATGAGACTAAGGCATTGTAAAACGAGTATCACCTATTTAAACATATACTACATTGTTACGAAATACCATATTTGTTATAGTTTAAGATTCAATACACATAATATGTCTTACACTACGATACATGCATTAGAGACTTAGATGAAATTCAGAAGGATTTATAAAATGAGAGCACCCTCCAAAAAAAAAAGATAATGATTATAGTGCAACATAGCAGAGTAAAACAATAGCAGCGAAATCAGCAATATTTAACCTTCTGAATACTTAACGAGTCTGCGAGAACCTTCGAGGGAATTTCGACTTGTATATTGCGCTACGGAGGGCTGAAAAATTAGCGAATTAAACAGTCGCCGAGGATCAACAGGATTTCGAAATCTACAATTAAATCTTTAATTTAATTATTTTACTATAAAGAAAAATGCAACTTCCGTCCAACAACAAACGGATCGATAAAGTAATTGCATTCTTCGGTTTAATACATATAAATATTCAAAACTAATATATACTTGATTGAACGATGTCACGCAACAGTACAAGGTAGTGATACAAAAGTAATATGAATATAGCATGATAGCAGTGGGAAATTAGTAAAATACTATACCATTGAAAATATCTTATACTTCATTAACCGAGTTGGATAAAATTATTTGTTTGTAATGATTAATATTTTATTAAATTTATCGAATTGATAAAAAGATCAGTGATTAATGTTTGTAATTATTTAAAAACAATTTGGTAACAGTACAATAATAAATAATAATGTCATAAAATACGTTTTATTTTCCCTGGGCTTCATTAATTTTTTTAATTTTTTTATTTTAACCTTACATCAAATTCTACCATTAGTAACATAGGTATGGGACCAAACACCATCAGTTCGTGTTCACATAGTGTCACACGCACAAGTCAAAGATTTTTGCACCTGTTATGTACGTAGGGGCATTATCGAGTGCGTGGGACGTGAGGGTAAAAACACATATAAACGGTTTTTTGTCACTTTTTTTTATACATTTGGGCATCGAAAAACAGACGCAGATGTAAACATATAATATTATAAATAACAGTGTATATATACAACAGTATAGGTGACACTATAATATACGAGTCTTATAGTCGTATGATATATTATACGCGATGTGTACTTCTCGCAGGGCCGTCGCCGTAATGTATTCCCCGCGCGGCTCCGATATCGATCTGAGCGCAACGGGCGGGCAAGCGCGCTGTCGCCGCCGCCGACAGATCGGCATTGGCCGGGTAGGCGTGGCCGCGGCAAGCGCGACGACGGCTGCCCGGTGGGACGGGATTCGGTCACCCGGGCACCGACGACGACGACGGTAGTTCGATCGCCGCTGCCGGTCGCCGCCTTACTTACGAGCGTGCACGAGACCCGGCCACGGGAGCCATGCGATCAGTGACACGCCGCCGCTCGCATCAGACCGCCGCTGCAGCAGCTCGTGCAGGATACCGCGGCCGGTACGAGTCGGTGGACCGGAGGACGGTGCATGTGGTTTAGATCAGGTGAAAGTTGCAAAATTTTCGATTTCACGCAGTCGGTGTCGACCGCGCGAGTAGTGACGTAGTGCGATACGCGAGTGGTAAGGATTTCAGGAGCAGTACAAAGGAAGACATGCTGTTGCCGTCGGACATGTTGGCCACGCAATCGAAAATGCTGTACCAGCTGAACAAGTACTGCGTGGAAAGAGTGGAGACAAGAAAGTCGGCCACCGCCAAGGCGGTGCGCGAGGTGTGCAAGGTGGTGCAGACGGTGCTGCACGAGGTGGAGGCCCAGGAGCCGCGGTTCATCTCGTCGCTGGCCGAGTGCAACGGCCGGTACGAGGGCCTGGAGGTGGTTTCGCCCACCGAGTTCGAGATCGTGCTCTACCTAAACCAAATGGGGGTGTTCAACTTCGTAGACGACGGCTCTTTACCCGGCTGCGCGGTACTGAAGCTGAGCGACGGCCGGAAGCGCAGCATGAGCTTGTGGGTGGAGTTCATCACGGCGTCCGGGTACCTGTCGGCGCGGAAGATTCGCTCGCGGTTCCAGACGCTGGTGGCGCAGGCATGTGACAAGTGCGTGTACCGCGACTCGGTCAAGATGATATCGGACACAGGCGAGGTGAAGCTGCGCATCCGGGACCGGTACGTGGTGCAGATCACGCCGTCGTTCAAGTGCGCGGGCGTGTGGCCCCGATCCGCCGCCCACTGGCCGGTGGCGCAGCTCACGTGGCCGCACCCCAACCTGATCGTCCAGGTTAAGACCGAGGGTTTTGACCTGCTCTCCAAGGATAGCGTCATCATGCATGGCAAGCAGAACTCGATGGAGGGTGACGCGTGGGTCATGTCGTTCACGGACGTGGAGAATCAGCTGCTGTACGGTGGCTGCCGCAAGCGGTGTCTGAGCGTGCTCAAGACGCTCCGGGACCGGCATCTGGATCTGCCCGGCAACCCAATCACCAACTACCACATTAAGACCCTGTTGCTGTATGAGTGCGAGAAACATCCCAGGGACGCCGAGTGGGAGGAGACCGGAATCGCGGACCGCATCAACGGCATCCTGCTGCAGCTCATCTCGTGCCTCCAGTGCCGTCGGTGCCCGCACTACTTCATCCCGCACCTGGACCTGTTCAAGGGCAAGACGCCCGCGTCCCTCGAGAGCGCGTCCAAGCATGTGTGGCGACTCAGCCGCGAGATACTCACCAACTCCCGAGCTTTCGACAAGCTATAGGCGCACGCGGGTATTACAAATGTTTAAACGTCGGTCGTGGTGCATTGACAACACGTCACGAAATATTATTTTTATTATTAAATTTGTAAATTTTTTCCCATTTTTATTTATACGTTTAATCTATATATTATCATATTAGCTAGTCAATGCGCGTTTGCATAAATACTATACATCTGGCGTATAATATAAATATTGCAAGAATATTATCGGCACGATTTTTAAGTATAAATAAGTTAGTATAACCATTGCCGGATCTAGGGAGGGAGACAAATGAGTATGGTTGCCATAGGCGCTGTTTGTATAAGGATGCTCTTAAATATATAAAAAATAAAAAAAGGTCATGAACAAACCCCGTATATCCATCTAGTTAAGGACGATGCATTTTTATTAGAGTCGGAAGTCAAATATCCTAGATTCGGCACTGATTATTACTATTTCGAGGAGGAGAGAAAACGTAGAACGTTTATGTCTTCATGTGTTGTGTGTTTCCTTTGTATAATCAACCATAACTATATAATATCCTCTTGTAATGTTATACCTTCGATACGTTCTGAAATGTTTGTAATGTAATTTTAAGTCATTTATACCTATTATTACCTTAGTATAATATTATGTTATATATGTTCGTTATTAGTTTTTTTTCCGAGTGCAATATTTAGCTATAATAGTAGTTTTTTTGTAAATTTAGTTATTCGAGTATATGCTACATGCAAGTACCAATTTATTATTACTATTATTGTTTATATGACCGACCTTTTGAGTTGTAAACTAAAATATAATAAATCACAGAGCCGATTGATTTCTCTGTATTTATGGCTTTTTTATACGATTTAAGATAATAATTTTGTTTGTAAATATTAAATAAGTAAATAACACATTATTCAAATATTATAATATCTATGTTGAATGGAAACTGATAAAATAAAATTATTACGAAATATATTGTGGTTTGGTTTTTGGAAACGATATAATAAGATGATAAACGTGTGTCATATGATTTAAATATACTATTAATTTTATTGGTGTATAGTACGAGATGTACCTAAATAATTATTATCATGGTAATTTTCCATATCATTCTGAGACATAACCAAATTTAGGTAACTCATACATTAATATGACAAAAAACTCTCGGCAATATCATATTATAAGGCTGAAATACGGTTGATGTACTATAAGACAATTAAAAGTAAAACAAACTTTAAGATGCGCTTTTCAAGGGACCAGTACAAAAGAGCCCTTTAAAGATAAATAAATCTTTTAAGAAATCTTGCTACTATACCAATCACAACTAACCTCAATTAATCGGTGTAAAGTATAATTTATATGTGACAAAGCCGTAAGATGGATTTCTTTGTTTTTGGTCTTTTTTTCTGCACAAGTACTTTTTATAAATATACTATAACTTTCACGAAATCAATAGTATTTTAAATTTTATTTCACTTGTAAAATAAGAAACAATTTTAGATTCAATTACCTAAAAACTGTATAACATCAAACTTCAAACACAGATTATTATATTACACTTGTTATTTAGTTGAACTTTTAACGACTGTATTTCTACTCAAACTAAACGAGTACTATTTCTATTATTTTTACTATCAAATAATTATCATACTTACGATAAAAATTATCATTTTTTGCTTAACAAAATAACATCTTATCCGATAAGATAGGGGAGGAACTACAAGCACCTTAAAAATGGTGATTTTTATATTGACTTTTTTAGGAAATGTCTATATGGTAGACACCAACGAAGGATATATTTTTAAGCGAATTTTTTTGTAAATACATGAATTATGTATACAAATGACTTTTTTTGGATAAATTCATAATTTACTCTGTTAAACCTTAAAAAATCATATTTATATAAAAAATGAACAAAAAAGTTAAAAAAATACTCTTCTATCATCCATATATAACGTAAAGATTATAATACTTATAGATTGATACAAGAATAGTGAGTAAAAATCGCTTATTATATAGTAAAATACGTGCATGTTGTTATGTCGTATACGAAATATAATATTAAATATTTATATAATTTGATACTGAAACATATAACTTCATAACTTATTAAAACTTATTGGAATTTGATACGTTAAAGTAAATTTATTTGAATACGTAAATATTTCAAATAGTATAGCCTATACCTATATAGAATATATACGTAGGAAAAAAAATATGACAATCATTATATGTGAAATAGAATGTAACTAAATATACTCGTATATAATATATATATATATATATAGTGAGAGAGATTTATAATAAATTCGGTAAAAAGTAAAGAGTAAATAAATTATTACGGTTAATAGATTCTTATGTAGTTAAAGCCTTATACAATATATTAACAAGTAAGGATACTGACTATGACTACACACATAAACTATTTTTTATAAGCCTATTAAAAATAAGGAATCAGGTTTTATTGAGCACAACTAATTATTATCATTTGTAATAGCTATTTACACGACATTAAAATTATATTGCGGTTGGATAATCACTACACGCACACCTTTTTTTTTGTGACACATCAAGAGGAATTAACAGATTGGTATAATATTATAAAATGTCATAACCATAAAACAGGTACGTTTCAGAATATCAGTGTTACAAATTAAGATAACATTTATATGCGACTGAATATCCTTACGCGTATATAATATGGTTTCCTAACAATGACTGAAATTAATTTACAACTACACATTAAATCTGATTTTATGTGATAACTATTTAGATACATATTTATGATAAAATTACGATCTATAAACGACTATGCGATGTGATAACTGCATTATTATTATCGATTCCAACACAAACTCGAATTTGTATATTAAATCATGCAATAATCAATATCATTTATATTAATAAACGATAGCTGTATAAATTAAAGTTTATCGTGTTTATTGTGTTTACAGTAAGATGTATCCAGGAGCATAGGTACAATGGTATACCTAAACGATAAAATTTATAACGGCGTGTATACACAGAGACAATATAATGCATGTACGCGCATACACAATCGATTCGAATCAATAATAAGATATATATACACGTTTAATTTATGTACAATTTGCTGTAAAACATTAATTGCTTATGTAACGCGTTCATAAAATCAGCTTAATAAACGCGTTGTTAATCGTTGTTATCGATGAAAGGAGCAGAAATATTATGTTCGTACACGATACGATCTCCAATGGTACATACAGAACCGATAACTGTAAGTCTAAACCTATGCACATGTGCAGTGGCCGCGTGTGTGTGAACGTGTAAAAACACTAAAAAAAAAAAAAAAAACTATTCTCGTGATCGTTTAGACTTTTGTGGAAATTTATGTATAAATAAACTGGATCATCGGTGGCGTACGTGTGTAAATTAAAAGTTACCATCTCACGGAAAAAGAAGTGGGTGGTGAGGGTAAAAACTGAACACACAGCATTACAGTATCTTCGGGTCGTGCAATAAATTATGGAAACGCGTTATTTCGAGGGGAAAAAACGTACATCGAATATTCTGCACGAGCACATAATGCAATGTACATATAATGTACACTGGCATACACTCTGCAGTACATAAAGCTACATTATCAGGAATGTGTGTGTGCGCGCGCGTGTAAATATCCATACGTATATATGCACTAGAAGTATATAAATATGTATATGTATATGTATACGTGGTATATTGTGGGAGAGTGGCATAAATATAAAACGGGAGAAAAAGGAGGAAAAATAAAATAAAATCGAAAAAAAAAATTTACAAACGCACGCATAGCAGACAATCTGTATAGTTCAATAGGAACGAGAAGCAAAAAGTAAAGATAGCGTGAGTGAGGGGGTGATGGGAGAAAAAAAGCGGCTGCACGTCGTACGGAATATCTGGTGGCGGCGACGGCGGCGCGGCCAAGAAGTATCAGAGTCGAGGACGAAGCAACCACGCGCGGGTGGGGTCCGCCCCGGATCGATAGACGGCGCGCGAAATGGGCGGGGACGGAGCAACGCCTTCGTGGGGCACGCCCCGCCGCCCGACAGCAGAGGACCGCCCGGCGCGGACCACCATCCGTCCGCGGTCGACGGGACCGCAGTCGCGAACAGTAGTACTACGTTAAACGTGTCGCTAGCCGTATCCTTAACACTGCACGGTTGCTTGAAGGTCCCCGTCCGTTCTGATCACGTTTGCGCCGCGTTCCGTAGCCTCGTGGTGTGCACCGCAAATACTTGTCCGTCTTGTACCGTCCACATTTAAATATTCGCACGTGCACGACGGCCCTAGAGTCGAAATTTAACACGGTACCGATTGTGATACACACGTGCGAGCACCGTTACGCCGATCACGGTGTGGGTGGGCGCACGCACAGTCCGCGGGACAGTGATACGCATCGTTCGAACGACGTGATCGCACGGTGGTCATGCGAGCCGTGGTTGGCGGCACCGCAGCGGAAGTAGCCGAGTTGAGCTGGTGACCAGACGACATGAGATACAGCGAGAGCATGCTCGTGCCGCAGGATATGTTGCCCGCGCAGACAAAAATGTCGTACCAGCTGTCCAAGTTTTGGGCGGAGAGGGTGATGTGCCGGAAAGCGGCCACGGCCAAGACAATCCGGGAAGTGTGCAAGGTGGTGCAGGATGTGCTACGCGAGGTGGAAGCCCAGGAACCGCGGTTCATCTCGTCGCTGGTCGAGTGCAACGGTCGGTACGAGGGCCTCGACGTGGTGTCGCCCACCGAGTTTGAGATCGTGCTCTACCTGAATCAGATGGGCGTACTGAACTTCGTGGACGACGGCTCGCTACCCGGATGCGCGGTGCTGAAGCTAAGCGACGGCCGCAAGCGCAGCATGAGCTTGTGGGTGGAATTCATCACGGCGTCCGGGTACCTGTCGGCGCGCAAGATCCGCTCGCGGTTCCAGACGCTGGTGGCGCAGGCGTGCGACAAGTGCGTGTACCGCGACTCGGTCAAGATGATCGCGGACACTAGCGAGGTGAAGCTGCGCATCCGTGAGCGGTACGTGGTGCAGATCACACCGTCATTCAAGTGTGCTGGCATCTGGCCCCGGTCGTCTGCGCACTGGCCGATCACGCAGATCCCATGGCCGCACCCCAGCCTGGTGGCCGAGGTCAAGACCGAGGGCTTCGACCTGCTGTCCAAGGAGTGTGTGACGCTGCACGGCAAGCAGTCCGCCCTCGAGGGCGACGCGTGGGTCATGTCGTTCACGGACGTGGAGAACCGGCTCATGTACGGCGGATGCCGCAAACGGTGCCTGAGCGTGCTCAAAACGCTCAGGGACCGACACCTGGACCTGCCTGGCAACCCGATCACCAACTTCCACGTAAAGACGCTGCTGCTGTACGAGTGCGAGAAGCACCCGCTAGACGTGGAATGGGACGAACCGTGCCTGAGCGACCGCATCAACGGCATCCTGCTGCAGCTCATCTCGTGCCTGCAGTGTCGCCGGTGCCCACACTACTTCCTGCCGCACGTCGACCTGTTCAAGGGCAAAGCGCCCAGCAGCCTGGAAAACGCGGCCAAGCAGACGTGGAGGCTGACGCGCGAGCTGCTCACCAATTCCAGGGCTTTCGACACGCTCTGATCCAATCCACGCCCACGGTATATCACACGCCGTGTATACAAGCCGGTTATTTATTTTTGTTTTTTTTTTTTTTTTGTGGACATTCACAATATTGCACACGTTTCGTTATACTATTACTATTATTATTATAATGACGATCATCTCACGTTTTACAAGTGCATATATATCATATATATCATATAACATCGTCGATATCGGGCCTCCAATGATATCCCATTTTATATGAGCAATCGTCGCGGCGTATAGTTTTTGTAACATCCACGTGTTTCTCGAAAATTAATTGTTCTGTTAGTTCGCTATTATTTCGTACATAACGTTAGATTCGATTTGCCGTTCATACGCTGGTAGAGCAGACGTGCAGGGCCGGCTTTAGGTCTTTCAGCGCTCAGTGTAAGAATTATTTTAGCAATCCTTCATCTTAAACGACAAACATTTAACTTAAACAGTCAGAATTTTGGGAGCTGGAGTGGCTTCATTAAACAAATTATAACTTAATATTTAGCATGCATAATCATAAATGCTCAAAATAATTGTTCAAACTTGCATATTTGCCACATATTTATAATTCATTCAGAGAACAAACATAATAATACTTGTAATAATGTAAGAATATTGTATGGAACTGTAATTGTACCTAAAAGCGCGACCAATCCTTGCATGTTGATGAATAATAAATAAATGATAATTATAATAATAATCAAATCTATATTGAATCACATAATGATTTTTTTTTCTATCCATAGTAGATAGTTTGCGTCGCCAACGATTAATCAAATTTAATTATAATGTTAAGGCCTCTCACGTGCCCTTCCGATTTTGGCGTCCTGTGCCGTCGAACGCGTCGATCGTATTTAAAGCCGACCTTGCAGACGTGCGTGCAGGCGATTATCGCTGCATTCGTAAGTCGTACAACATTGATTCTCTTCCATTTACAGCGGTTTAGCACAACGCTTTCATCATCGACAAAACGATATCACTTTTTTCGCATATTACATGTCTATAGATTATAACACTAGAAAAACTTGGTTTTGCACCCGTTACAGTTTTTGTGCAAAACGTTTACATGGATGGTATTTATACTGTCGGCTGTACCTTATTCTCTGATAATTCATACGCACTGTTTAGCTCCGAATCAAAGTTAAATCGTATACATAATGGAATAACTTCTCCGATCGCCAAGTCTCGTATACCAATACGTATTACTATAATACACTATTAAATTAAATTGAACGTATTATGCATACTATTAAACATAATAGTATTACTACTGCTGCAATGTGTTCAATCGAAAATAATGATATAAATAATATATATTATTTAGTGCAAGTATATATTGTTATTAATTGCATCGAACGAACATTTAAGCGTATGAGTCCATGCAATCATTACAAGAGATATATTTTGTAATTATTGATGTTTAATTTTTGTATATTAATATATTACAATCTGATGCATTAAACTATTATTGTTTCTTATACGTTTTATGACTTAATAATGTAATAGTGTTAGGAAATAAATGATGCGCCAATGTGTGAATGTGTATTATCTGGTTTGATATTATTGTTTTGAATTTAATTAGTATATAGCAACATCATCATTTACCAATAATGTGTTACCTATATTTGTACGAAACCATTTTTTTATATAGAACATGTACTATATTTGTTCTATTTTGATAAGCTATCGCGCATATTTGATTTTTAAAATAGATAGCCGAGCCATTTTGAATTTTTTTTTTTTTAAAGAGTTATTTTTACGATTTTCTTATTGTAACACCAGAAAATGTTAAAATATTTTTCGTTAAAATAAAATTAAGCGTTCGTTTTTAATTTTTCTACAGTTTATTATTATTGTATTAAATAATATTGTAAGTCCATTAAATTAATGACGTTCTATAATTGCAAATAAATTGCTTAATAATATTCTAACGAACCATAATGTATTATCACTATACATTTAATTTGTAAATTATAAATGTATATTGTAAATACGAATAAAATTCAACTTAATTAAATTTGTATTCGTATTTATACAACACGAACAACTAATGGTTTTATCTCTAGTCAATGAAGAGTATAATATACTTTTATTATATTAAATTATAATATTATATTATATTATATTATAATTACTTTTATATTAAAATCACTTTCTTACTTAATAATATTTTTTGCTTTACTTTATATTGTTCAATTACATGTTCTATACATAAGAAATTTGTGAAAATTGCCTTTACCTAACATTATTATATCGATGTAACAAATTTTAGAAGTTTATTATTTATAAATATAAATCATTTTTATGAAAATAAACATTTTTTTAAAAGTGAAACTTGTGATTTTATTTTACAATTTTTCCTTTTAGAGAGAACATACAAATTATGTTTAGTAGTGGAGTAAAAAGTCTTTATCTCATTCTGTTCGCATGTAATTTTTGAAAAATGATGTTTACAGAGAAGTGGGGAAAAAACGTACATTTTTTTGTAGATTAGGTAAGTGGTGTAGTACAAATAGTGTTTCGTACCTCGTGTAGAGTTGCACTGTTTCCGGTATGATAAATGAAGAGAAGTGCATTAAAGATGAAAGCATCGGCGGTCCCCAGGAGTGTTGTAAAAACGGAAGAAGACACACGGTCACCATAAGCGCTTAGGGTGATGGTAATTGAGTTAAGTGCTCTCGCGCGGAAGTGGTCTGGTATCACTTAAACGTGCAAGTGGAGTAGAGGCATAACAAAATTATGAGCTAACGGCATTATTCACCCCTGTAATTGCTTTTAATAATAAAAAAATCATTAATGAGAACTCTTATGCCATTCTTAACCCAGTTTCTGTACTGTTATACACTAAAATTAAATCAATTGAGCACACAGTGTTAATATAAAATATTTTGCTTTGTGCATTTTAGAATAAAAGTTACTTCTAACACATTGTATGATAATATGTGCAGTGGGTACGTGCATACTTCAAGAAAATATGACGTATATATAGATGTAATTTAATCTATATAACATATTTTATGTATATTATAGATCGACGAGTTTTGAGATATAATAAATACGGCCACGAGATACTTAAAACAAGTTTTTTGTATTCAGGTTTCCATGAAATAATTACTAAATTACGGTTAGAAATGAATTCAACGGATATAGGTAGATATATTTTTTTTTACCATATAAAAAAATCATGACACTATGTAATGTGCAAAATTCGTTTAAAACGCACATAATAAATCATAGAAAAGATATATAAATTTAAAGCATAATAGAGTCAACATCGATTGGGCCAGAAAGAATTAAATAAATAATAATAGTTAATGAACCGTAACGGTTTGGAGACTTGAAAACCCATTAACGAGTATAGGACAGACGATTGAGTAATTATTGAATGAAGGTATATGTAACTGGTACATAATAGCAGTTCGGTACGGAACAGCAAGTATTTCAAAGCAAATTTCGTTTTTTTCAACGCGTACCTACGTTATGAGTATATACAAACGAATAATACGTAAACGTTTCGTGCAATAATATACCTACCAAATAGTGTATTCGGAATTGACGGGGGGAACGCACCACCAAGCATTGTATGGACAGAGGAGGGAACACGTATAGTATAATAGCTAAGTGAGGAGATCATCATAACACATATGCAATATTATTTCGGCATAAAACATACACGTGATACAGTTTAGTGTACCCTCAAACGATGTAAGAGCTTCATTGGTGGAACACACTCGAGACCGAACTGCGTATACTATTATAACAACTATGTGTATTATATATATATATACGTACATGTTACATATATATAAAAAAAAATACAAATAAATACAACACAACACAGATGTTCTGCACCGGATAAAATGTACTACACATGCGGATTACACCCCGAGGCCGTTTTTCTATTGTCATGACCAACCCCGGCCGCGGTATGTTACACACGTCATCGGTACATACGTGAACAATATAATTTTTTATTATTACACGCGACATACGACCAATAAATATACTCGTGAGTTTTTTTTTCTTCAAATTGTTGAACTGAATTGCGCTATGGATGACGACACACATCCTTAGAAGAATTCTAGTAAAAAAAATTCCACTAACCTAACGTGCACGTGAATCCGGTGTACACTTGATTCGTATAGGAGGTACACGCAGCACGTGATTTATCGAAAGGATGTAAGTTCTGCACGACTGCGACGACCTCCAGAAGGTTACGCTATACACTATATAGACGATGTGTAGCAGAATCGCACCGTTTATTTACTATATATAAACGTAATAATAAGGCGGACATCAATTTGCCGTACACGAGGCACTACGTGGTCCCCAGGGAAAACGCGTTGCAACAGCAGCAGCGTCTTCTTGGACAAAGTGATTACATTTTTATAAATCACCACACCGTGTCTTAATCATGTATATATATATATGTGTGAGTGCGGGTAAAAAATACATCTCCCCTCGAAAACATTTCGTTCACGCGCCGCCGAGCAACTCTTCGCAGCCGCCGTCATCGTATCCGCGCGCGCGCACCCCGCTCGAATCCATTGCACGCTGTAGAACGTATATAACAGAGAACAGGGTACGATACATAGTATAAAATATACCGGGTGGTCTCCATGTACGGCACGTATATTGTTGTTCGCGAAAAAATAACCAATGCCGGCAGCAGAAGACTATTAGAATTATATATAAATATATCTGTGTGTGTGTGTATGTATGGGATATCCTTCCTCGGGAAAAAATATTGGCATGCAACAACTGATATAATTGTACAAACGCGTATGCGTTGTGTCTAATAAGTAGGAATATACCTGTGCTGAACGCTAAATATTTACGAGTAATATACATATAATAAACAAATTTAAAATCAGTTCATTGTTTAGCGTAACGATTCGATATGTATATAAAATGTGCTACATACTACAATAAATATATGAAACATTTGTCTATCCAAAATTAGCATCAAAACATATATATATATATACTTATACAATATGTACAGTGCGGTGACACTCGTTTGCGCATTCAAATTGTTTACCTGGAAACTGATAACTCGTTTGCGTACAACCAAAAATTGTGAAAACCAGCTAATACAAATTTTTATCTGAAAAATGACGACTCGTTTTGACAAGTTGCAAAAAAGTTTACATGTATACAAACGGGTATCGCCCGTACGGTGGCGTAGTCAAAATTTTTAAATGGGAAGAGCTTAACACTTTTCTTGGGCAGATTAGTTGGGAAAGGATTTAATAATTTAGCTTTCACCCCCTCACTAAGCTTATAAATGTGTTTATTTTAAATAGTTTCAATAATATTTATAATAATAATTCATTATAATAATAAATTATCAGTAGTAAGCTGCTGTAAAATTGCTACGACGTAACATGGTTTAAAAACTATAGTGATTATAAAATTATAGTGTTAAATAAGAGTCACCATAACGTTCATAATAACAACCAGAATACAGTATTAATCACCGTAGAAGTAATATGCTCGTGTATTAAAGATAAACATCCGTAAACATTTAGTTAGAACCAAAGTTTTAAAATACTTAAATATCAAATAGTGGTGTACTAGTATAGTACATACACTCTGAGATACACATAAACACGACCCATAAGAGGGAGCTACAGCCTCCTTAGCTACGCCACTAAATATGTATCATAAAACCACGTTTCACCATTGAGGTCACGTGAGCCTGAAAAA